TTTGGAAGTGACTGACAGATTTGTGCATATAAGAAGCTTACGTGATGTTATTTTGAGAGGCAAAACTATTTCTAGCATATCAAGTTCATAATAAAAAATGACGTATCCCTATTAAACAATTCTATTTACTTCTACTTCTTTAGGTGATGATGTGAAAGAAAAGAAGCCCGATCCTCTGATTTATGTAACAGCCGCTGAGGTAATTAGAGTGGCAATGTATCACCCTACTTTGTTAGATGTAAACAGTTGATTTCTAACTCTGCCCTTTATTTTAACCGTGCTGTGTAAAATATTATGCTTCACAGAGATTAGGATTGTCAGCAAAGGATTGTATGGTAGTAGAAGACAGCGTCATCGGATTACAGGTTGATTTCGTAAATGCGCTTAATTTAGAATGCATTTTGGATATTTGCTACTAATGCTTTAGGCTTCAGGATACTTAGAGGAGGTTGAGAAAATCTTCATCAGATGAAAAACTTTTATATCCAATTGTTGGTTTAATATAGCCTCTCTCTTTTCCCCCCCTTTGGGTGCCATGCCGAAACTCGAGTCTAAACTCAGCTGGTCTCTGCAGGCTGCAACCAAAGCAGGCATGTCCTGTGTGATTACTTATACATCGTCCACGGCTGACCAGGTAAGGCATTGCCTTGTGTGGATCCTTCAAATTGTCACTCTCAAGTAAGATAAGTAGTTATTTATGAAACTTACTAAATTTAAACAAATAAATGTCACGAACAACCTAAGCTTTTTAGATGTGGGGGTTCAATAGCGTACCAGAATAGCAAGTCCTAAGTTCAGTTCTTGCAACCCCTTGTTTAGGAAACTTTTGCACCTGTCTGGCATTTGATTATATATATATATATATATATATATATATATATATATTGGGAGAGGCTGCCCAGCTTGAGATTAAGAGGAAATAATTCGGGCTTTTTTTAAACAAGTCTACGAGATAGAAGGTGATAGAGAGCCTGTTGAAAACTAAATATGGATAAAAAATTATATCTCTTTAATAGCTCAGCCTTTTAGATGAGCTGGGCTGGTTCAATACTGACAATAGATAATGATAATCACCATGAGTCGAAAAAATGGATAAAGCCGGGTCAAAATGAAGAAACACTAACTTGATTGATTTTTTCTTGTATTTCACAAGGCAATTAACGACTAATTCGATCACTGTCTACTCTAATATAGGATTTTAAAGAGGCAGTAGCAATCTACCGGGACTTGAGCGAAGTTAGGTAAGACACCGACATTCTCGTATATTTATTTCTAACATTAATCATCAATTTGTTGTCCCATTAATTCATTTTATCCACACAGATTAAAAGATTTAGAGTCACTACTTCAAAAGGTCGTTACTGCTAATTAAGGAGACTATTCATGCAAAATTCGTAAAGATGGTTACTCTCTTCTTGAATCGTATATGAGTCGAGATATCTCTACATTTTTAATTTAAATTCCTATGTTGTATTCATTGAATTATAGTGAGTGCCTGTCCCTGTGAAATTTACGAACTTGTCTACAATGTAAATTTATGGCAGCTCAGATCCATTGTCTAAATGCGATAATGTACTATACTATACTGTCCCGTCCTGTCCCGATAAATTAGAGTGTAATATTTTTAAATATTTAAGAGAAGAAAGAAATAATTTTTTTTCTCACTGTTTCTGTGAATTCTATTCAATTTTTACTTTTCCTTTACTTGATTGTGCTTAATTACTCATTTCGAGGACCATTTGATATTTTCACCAATTCACCTGCACAAATACTTGTATAGTTTAGTGTCGGTTACACATTCAACATAGCATCCTCAATGATTCGTGTGGTCTTATAAATTTGTTCGAGGATTCCGTGGACTTCCTTAAGAATTTGCCATTGTAAAATCCCAAAACAAGTAAAATATATTTGATTGATATTGAATCAATGGTATTATGAAAAATTCTAAGTTCTTAAATGTTGGATTAATAATTCCAAGAAAATTAGTTGTTGGGTCAATTTAAGTAACTCTTCTAAGTAATTAGAAGAGAGCGGAATTGGACCTCCCTCAAAATGATGAATTGTGAAATAAAAAATAGAGATACTAAGATATGCCAACCCGAGTAATTGCTCTGGAGCAAAATTTTCCATAATGCCTATTTACCAAAATCTCGATCGACATTAAGGCGAAAGGCAGTTTATAAAATAAATCGTAAATTCTATAATCAATATTCTACGAATGAATTTAAATATATATTTATACCAGGCTCCTTCAAAATTCCGTTGTAGTCTAGTTGGTTAGGATACTCGGCTCTCACCCGAGAGACCCGGGTTCAAGTCCCGGCAACGGAAAATTATTTTAATTTTCTCCACGTTTTATATTTTATTGGGTCGGATAATTGTTTGGTTTGAAACTTTGACCCGATTATATTCTAATCTTTTGAACTGAATAACCTCAACTTAAACCCAATCCAAAAAAAGTATCGCCTGGGAAAATCTAAAAAAATATCACTGAAAGGAGGTATTAAAGAAATGTAGCACGACTTTGTAAACTTTTCAAACATTAATTATCTGTTTATTTCTCTATGGAACAAGCTGAAGGCTACAATTTAAAACGCTATGCACAACTCGTGGTTTATACTTCGTCTAGTGCTCTAGATTCCGAGTTATTAGCTCCCAAGAAACGAACTTTGTACCTACGAAAGCAGCACAATAATGGCGTAGGAACAAGTGAACCTTTATAATCAAACTTAAAAAGGTAAATTGAAGTGAAATTTTTACACAAAAAAAGAGAATTGTTTCCCAAAAAAAAAAAAAAAAAA